CCAGTAAAATGTGTTATGTGTATGTGGATCTCACAAGCTCTTGTACCACAAAGTGAGTATTTAACAAAGGAGCAAGTCAAAGAGCTGCTGCTCTCTGTCCAAGCCACACAAAGTGTTCTGTCCAAGCCAAACATCGCTGAGGAAAGAGGGGACCTTTGACAGGGGGACATTGTTTTATTTTTAAGTAAGCTATTTTTGCACAGCTTACTGGTATGAACTAGAATGAACTCGGTTCCTATGTTTCTTAACTTCTAGTGAACACTGTGATAAAAGCTGCAAGGGGTTTTACACTAACAGTGCCTTCCAGTTTTTAAATTTTGTTTGTCATTACTGTCTGTGGTATGGAGTCATTCCAAAGCTTTTTCCCTTATCTGTTTGCATACATAAGGAAAAAAGATAAGGCGTATTTCCTCAAGTTTACAAGTATTTTCTTAAAAAGCACACTTTTTTCAAAGTAACATAATTTTGCTGGAAGAAAAATGTATTTTAACCTGATCATATGTGGCTTCCTGTGAGAATTTCAGTCTGGGTTCATTTGTTTTCTTTCCACTCGGAGCTTTGCGGGAGTAATGTTGGCTGCCACTGTTTGTGCTGAAGGATTTCTTTAACATCAGAAATCAGTAAAGACTCAAGGAGTGGAGAAATGCCAGTTGGTGCGAAAATAACACATGAAAAATAGTCTCTGTAGCTCTATAGGAAGGACACACTTGGGTTGTTTTCTACAGATACAGAAAACTGTTGGACATGTATCCTGGCTGTTGTGGAGTGAGGATGGCCAGGAGTGCCAAGGACTTCTGTAGGATGAGGCTTTAAGTACATCTTAGACTGAGAATAGCAGAACTGTTAATAAACACTTTGAAACCTCTTTTTGCATTTTGCGTATTCCTGTTATTCCTCAGAAAGATTTTGGGGGTCGCCCGCTAAGCCGGGGGCACTTCTGGGACATGAGTGAGTGGTGGTGACTCATTCCCTGCTCACAGCAGGGCTCCCCTCAGGCTGTAGCTGACAAGGCTTGTCCTGTGAGGACTCCCTCAAAAAGGGATGTGATTTGGTAAGGAAGCTGTGCTGTTGTGGTTCCTCTCCTGCTCTGTGTTGCAGCAGGTTCATCGTGTTGAAGCAAAGCTTCCCCCTCCTCAAGTTCATCTGCTTTTGGTTTCATAAACCTCTGCCATGTCAGTGTGGACAGAGATGGAGGACAATTTGTTATTCCCTTCTTCTCCCACAATCCTTTTTCAAATTCTTGTTTGTAGAGTTTTTTAATAAATGAACACACGGATTAGCTGAAGGCCACCTTCTTTGAACAGTCAAGGTCATGGTTCTTTAGTCACGAGCAGAAATTTCATGTCCTACCCCTGTGTGTGTGTGCTGCCTGTCCATAACATTTCATATTTCAGTCACCTTTTGCTTAATTTTTTTTTTCTTTTCAGTTGAGTGGTTTTCATCCATTTTGTTTTTGTCTTTGTTTTGTTCCCCATTCAGGAGCAATTATGTTTGCCTCTGCATATTTTAGAAGAGAAGGGTTTGACACAGGTAGCTGTGACTGTCCAGGCGCTCCTGGAGCTGGCACCCCCAAAGCAGCAGCCACTTCACCACTTGTCTGCTGTGTAAAGACCTCCGGGACCTTTTGGGTTACCTTGGCTAAGCAGAAGGACCTGAAGACTTTACTGCCCATGCAGTGCATCCAAACACACAGAGCTCTGTTCTAAGGAAATGAGTTTCCGTGATTCCTGACAGGAATGTTTTACTTCATTTCTCCATTTTTTTTGGAGATTTCAACAGTTTCCAGTAACATTTTTACTACCAATTTTTTTGCCCCTTATTTAAAAAAATGAGGGTTGGGAGGAGGGCAAGGAATTCCAGTGGCTGGCTGTTGGAGCCAGCTGTAGAAACTGACCTTGCAGGTGGAAGATATGGATGTAGAGTTAGGAAAGCAGTTCCTAGGGGAATTTGTAAAAAAAAGGATGTTGCTGCAGTGGTCACATGGGGAGTTAAATTTCTTTCTTTACCCACAGAGTGCAAAGAAATGGAGTTTCTTTGCCTCCAAAGAACAACCGCTATTTCTATTATAATATTTTAAAAATTGCATCACACAATCTTAACCTGCAGTGTTGGGTAACAGGGTCAAACCTCACAGAGCTGTGACTCGTGTTGGCATGTCCTCATTACTAAAAGTTGAAGAAAAAGAAAATTTCCCAAGGGAAAACTTACTGCCTGTTTTCTCCACCAAAAACACGTTAGTAAAAGATACTAAATCAGATCTGTTCAAATGGTGTTTAATCCCATCAGAATTCTCTCTAGGTTCACTTTCTGTTGGGGGTTTAACGTCTTTATTGGAACATTCTTCTGACATCAGTGGGTGGAGATCTCTGCTGGCTCACCGGAATCAAGTGTGTATTTCTCTGCAGTGTGAACAATCCCAGCCTGCCTTGCTGCTCTCTAGGAGCCCTTTGTCAACTAACTCATTCACGAGGGGCTGAAGCATCCCCTGCAGGCACAGAATGTATTAGGGTTAGAGCCCAGTGAGATCCCAAGGTGGGCTGGGTGTTGTCAGAGCAGGGCCTGTGCAAACACAGCTTCTCTTTGGGGGGTTTTGACAAGGCTTTCAATAAAGCCCTTTATCACTGGAGTTTATGTAGAGAGATGTGGTGGTTTTACTTCCTCTTTCCTTAACATAAAAATGGAAATTCAGTGTACAGGAAGGGGAGAGGCAGCCGACAAGTTTTGCATTTTCTTGGAAAACTGATGTGCAAAACAAGGACAGCTCTGTGTGCTCTGCTCCTAGTGACGAGGCCAAGCTCACTACCAGATCAATTACAGTAATTTTTTTTCCCCCCCAAAAAAGACCTCACAAAATCCAGGTCTCCACCCATGCAGTTCCTCTGTCAGGTTTTGCCCAATTTCAAGCATCCCAGAATGTTATGCTACTAATACACGGTGCTTGGGGTCTGAAAGCAACTGCAGGCATCAGTAGTATTCCATTTGGGGATGCATTTGAAGCAGAATACACCAAGAGGATTTTATGCAGATAAAGAAAGAAGAAATGGGAACAGGTTAGCTAAAAGTCATTTTTGCAGAAGTAAACCTGTGGTGGGAGCTGCCAAGGACTCGTCTTAGCTCCGTTTTTCCCCTTTTGATTTGCAGTTTTGTGTCCACTTTGTTTTGCTTCCTGTATTTCTTTCAAGGTCCATTGTGGTGACTGTTGAATCCCTTGTTTCACATCATTATTTTGGTTGCTTCTTATTGGCGTTCGTTGACTGATCATGCTGCAAGTGGAGAAAACACCTGGAGGGTGTTTAAAACTGCCCAGCTGCAAGGAGAAACCTCCTCATGCTCTTCCTGAGCCCTGCAAGGAATTGATGCCTAAAGGTGCCAGTAACTCACAGTACGCCCAGGAAGAGCAGCTCCAGACGGGCATTCTTTCCCCCTGAAGTAGCTCTTGTGTTTCACTTAATTTTGTTTGTGAGGAGTGTTCTCATTCTCTAAGGGTTACACAAAGGTGTCTGAAGGCTCTGCTGCAGTTTGCTGAGGGGAAGGTTCTGCCACTTGCTGGCAACAGCACAGACACAGGTGTTCCTGGTGTGTTTGTCTCTGCACATCATCTGAGAGAGGAGGGCACTGACTTCATCTTGGTTTCCAACATTAGGTCACCTGTACTGTTACAGGGACATGTTGCATTTAGCAGCACATCCCTCATGGGCTATTTCAATATCCCTGTTTGAAGAAAACCAGTCCCTTCATGGAATTGCAAGGGTGTGGTGATTGCTTCAGTCCAGCTTCCAGCACTTAAAAGAATGAAACTTAATACTATTCAGGTTGGTGGAAGTTTTACATTTCATTAATACTAGTTTTTAGTAATTAATGTGGTGGGGGCTCAAGTCTGGCCAGCAAGAAGGGGCTGTTTGCGTTGCCTGTGGCTCTCAGCCGTGGCTCCGTGCGAGCCCGTGGAAGGGCTGTGTCTGGGCAGGTGGGGGGTCCCCAGCACTGGGTACTTGGTTCTAAGCAATGTTCACTCTGGCAGTTTCAGTGTAGGGGATCGTGTTAGTTTGATGTTTGTAATCCTGTGTTTTCATGCTGGCAAGCACTAAATCTGGTCCAGATGTTTAAGACAAAATCCAAACCTGAAGTTTCATCGTACGGTTTATTTAATGTGTTACACCAAATTGACTTCAGTTCTCTCTTGCAAAATGGGTTGGGATTTTCCAGTGTATTTATGTGCAATTTTTGTTGTATCCCATGAAAAGAATATTTGAAAGAAAACATGTATAAAGTTCCTTGTTAAAGCAAAGAGGTGATTGTCTTTCCTCTCTGGGGCTTCTGTGTTGGAGGATGTGGGAGGGACCCACCTGAGTGTTTCATGCTGCTGGTGTTCCTGCACTGACTGTGTGGTGTCACCATCCATCCTCAAACCTGGCAAGCCCTGGGCAGCGTCTGAGGCTCAGTGAGGTTACACACTCCAGATGGAGCATCCCAGCCACTGGGGGCTCAGGGCAGAGCAGAGTTTGGGTCTTCCCCCTTTGAAGGGGAGGCTTTTGAGAGGCCCCACCACCGGTGTCCCACTTCAAATCCATCAGAGACAACTCTTTACAGCACCAGAGCACCTCTGTTGTAGCACCTCTGGTAGCAGCAGGATGGCAAACGGTATTTTTACCCTTTTATGACTATAAATGGTTCTTTGAAAAACTGTTTCAGAAACAGAGGACTTGAAAGGTGAATTTGGACATCTAAAAAATGCTTTCATATGGATACTGTGATGTTTTACAAAGTGATCTAATTTTGTTATTTCTCAAAACAGTGTAAACGTGTAATTAATAGAGTAAAGGATTTTAAAGCTTCATCCTGTGCTGTATGTCTGTAAATACATTCCATAATTTCTGTTACATATAAATGTGTCTGAATATTGTATATTTTAAATTGCCTGTATTCTGCCAGTAGTGTGAACGTCTAGCACATTGATAATATAAAAGGAAACCATGGATATTTGAAATAAAGTTTTAAAACTCACATGAATTACAGTATTTCTTCCTGATGTTTTTCTGTTGAATCAATGAATGTCACATCCTCTGTGTCGGGTGTTTATTCCCCTTCCACATCATCACAGTTGGCATTTGATGGACCTGCTTTGGTTCTCTACTTTTCGTAGATCCTTCTGAGTCCCTTCCAACTGAGACTATTCTGGGTTTGTTCTTAGCTAGAATGTTTACTTCTCTTTTTGTCCCTCCTCACCACTAGTTTGTATTATTTAAACAAAAAATAGGACGCAAGGCCTATAAATTGCCAGAGATCCACAGACCCTCCCTGCCTGTACAGGCTGTACAAGGGCAGCTTCAAGATCTTGACTGCAGCTGCACCTTAACTGTGTCTGTCAAGAACTGTGTTCTCCAGAATTGCCCGAACTCTGTTATATGGTTTATTTTGTCCTGTCAGACAGACTGCAGTGCTCTGCCCAGCAACAGACCTGGAGCACATCTGTGGGCACTTTCTTTACTTTCTTTACTTTTTCTTTTCCTTCCCTGTTTCTGTCTGCACTGCTGCCTGTTCCTTCAGAAGCTTCTCGAGGGCCTGGTAAGGGCCAAGGAATCTGCGGACCATCGTGCCTTTCCACCAGGCCTGCACCTGGAAGTGAGAAAGAGAGGCCTCAGGGGAAATTTCTTGCTGGGGTACCTGGTACAGCTCAATGCCAGAGAGTCTTTCCTGTGCTCCCCAGACACAGGAGGGAACCTCCAGCCCACACAGCAGCCATCAGGCCTTCCTGGTTGCACTGGAAGCACCCACAGCTGGGGCAGGGCATCTGTGGCTGGTGGCAAGGGACAAGCAGAGGCACTGCCCCATGGCCCTCCCTGTGTCACCCATGCAGTGGGGCTGATGCAATGGGCACAGCCCCAGATCATTCCAGGAGACTGGCTTCTCCCCTTTGGCTCCCATCTCAAACCTGGAGCCAACTGCTGGCTCTGAGTCAGAAAGGGACAGGCTTTGTCCTTTGCTTGTGCCACCCCACACCAGCCAACTTTATGGGGCCGTTTTCTACCTGAACAAAGCCTGTGGCACAGATTATTAACTCCCAGCTGCTGATGGAGCAGCATCACCTCAGCGTTGCTCCCCTTTACCTTCAGGGCGCTCTTCAGCTCCAGGGCGTCCTGCTCTCGTTGTTTTTTTCTATCCTTCTTCTCTGTCCGGTCAGTGATGATGTTTTCCTCGAACATCAGGCACTGCAAGAGAGCACAGGGGTGGCAAAAGCCACATGACAAACACATCCCCTAACTGCAGGGCCAGCCTTTGAGGCTCACTGTGCCCAGCCACTTGCCAGGGCAGGGCAGGGCAGGGCTCACCTGGATCCTGGTGCAAGGATTGTTCTCTTCTGGCTGCCTACGTGTCTCATCCTTGCTACTCACTTCCCACAGCCCTGCCAGAACTGCTCAGGCCTGTGGGTCATGAGGTGGGTCCCCACCCTGTGCACCAGGGAGCTCCAGGGCAGCGCAGGGGTAATGTGTGACTGTGGACCTTCCTCCCCCACCTCCTTTGTTTGATCTTTCCTGAATGCAGATGGCAAATGTTGCTCATTACCACTGTCAGTCCTCAGGCACTTCGGGAGCTGCTGCCAAAGTGGAACCTCTCAAGGCCTGGGTGTAATTAACCCCCTGATCCCGTGCTGTAAAATGGCTGTCTGATGGTGTCCCAGGCAACAGCTGGTGGTGGGGAGGACGTGTGGTCCCTCAGGCTAAGCAGCAGAGGATGTACAAACACACTTGGGACTCTGAGATGACAGTGCACAGAGTGAAAAATGAGCCCACAAGCAGGAAAACATCAAACCCAGTCCCATCATCTCAGACCCAGTGACGGTAAGGAATGATTACAAGTTAATTCCTTCTGGCTTTAAAACACACATTTTTCTAGACACTTCTCTCTGCCCTGTGCTGCTGCTCCACTGTGATCAGAGCCCAATAGTTAACCAAGAACCCAGTGTGGGGCTGGAATGGTTCTGACTGGAATCAGCTCCCTGATAACAGCATTGTGCAGCTGGGAATGTGTGTGTCTGCGGGAAGGGATGAGCTGCCTTTTTCAGTTCCAGCCTGTCTTACCCTGATGTTGCTAGAAGGAGCTGGAAGAAGCAGATTTGTTCAGACTAAGGCAGCAAACTAAGGTGAGGCATACTGATGGGATGGGACAGTGTCTTTGCCCCTCACAAGTGCTGTCAGTAGCTCTCTCAGTACTTGCTGGTATTTGAAAATAGCTGTAGGGGAAATATTATCATCCCTCCTTGATGTCACAGGTGGCAAATGGAAGATGACATCTCAGTCGCTGCCTTCCCAGGACCAGTGTTTATAATTGCGCCCTGTGCCTCAAAGTTACTGATTTATTTTTTTTCCCATGGTCCTGGTTCCTTATCTGAATGAGGGTAGGAAAAAGCCCGGTGCGGTTTTGCGTGGCTGAGCACTGAGATGCTGCTGATGTCTTACCTCCTTGGCAACTTTCTGCATTGTTTCCAAGTTCTCTGCCTTCAACGCTCTTAGGTCATCCAGTTCTACTTCTTTCGCGTCAGTGTCATTTTCATACTTCTGCATCCAGTATTCCAGCTTCTCTTCCACCTTCTGCATGGGGAGGAATTGGTGCTCAGCATGGTGCAAAGAGTGCACAGGTGAGAGGTTTGCTACTATTACATGGCCTGCTCTCAGGAGGGTGGTGAGAGTCCTGTAAATGGTGCACGATCAGTGTTTCTGCCTCATCTTGGAAGGATCAAGCCCCTAGGACAAAATTACTGGATACAGGATAAATTGCTGCTGGCCTGCAGGCCCCTCACTGGACTTCACCACGGCAGCCACGGCACTGGACTGGGGATGAGGAGACTGGGTCGGGCTTTCAGGGGTGCATGAGGGATGGAGAAGCACTGGGGGTTAGTTTTGTACACAGTCAGTCCTGGTGAAGCAAGAGACAAGCAGAAGCCATTCTTCGTGTGTATACGGGGGAGGGGGGGGGTTGTTTAAAAAACAATTTGTCAGTGGGAAAGGTTTTATCCTCTGCCTGACTCCTTATCTGCTTTCTGGATTAAGCACCAGGAATAAGGTCCCAGGGGACAGCACTTCACGCTGTTTCAGGTTGTGAACTTGGCTTTGTCTCACTCGTGAATAGGGCAGGTGTTCTGAAACAGTCAGATGACTTCCTGCCATTCACCAATGACTTCTCCATAGCAACAACCGTGATTGCTTCCATGGAAAAATAATCTGAGGAAAAGCATCAATCTTATTAAGGCATCACAGCTGGACACACAAGGGAGATGGAGGGCACGGTCATCCTCCTCTCTGCGGGCCCCTGCAAAGCCACCAGCTGCTGTGTGAGCACTGAGGGGCTGTGCCTGGCTGTGTGCTGGAGGTCAGACAGGCTGCAGCTTGGGCTTGGACAGTCCCTTTGCTGTGAGCATTGATCAGAGCAAGGCTCTGGGGTACAGAGCAGTGTTTAATTGCTCACAAGATACAGCACTGGTTTGCACTCAAATTACATTTTAAAAAATGTATTATCTCCTATTAAATTTTGTACTGGCAGTGACATCAGGTACCCTGCAGAAGTACAGGTTTTCTTCCAGTTATATCATTTATGAGAGGCTTTGCAATGTTAACACCACAGGGACATTCATGATTGGTTACTGCTGAGAATGTGCACAATAGCTGTGGGTTAGCAACTCTCCAGCCCTGATTCTTCCTCAAATAAAGATAAGGCAAAATTGGTCTGGCAGTTTGTGTGGTTCCCTCCTCAGTGTCCCCTCTGTGCAGCCCTTGGGCAGTGGGTGCTCTTCCCTGAGGTGCTGGGAGCCCCAGATACTGCCAAGGAAGGTCTAAATAACATTCCAATCAGCCGAATACAACTACCTGAGGGAGGAAAAATCTGTGACAACTGAATAAACAATGCCAATTATTACGTGAACACTAATTTTAAGGAAATGTACCTATATGTAGCAGATCTCACTTCTGGGAGAGCTGGGTTAATTAAGACATGAGAATAAGTTATCATTCTAACTGCAGCAGCCATGAACCTGGTACATTTGTGGAGCAATAACTGTTTTTCTTTAGGTATTAATTGATGATACTATGTTTATAGGTTGCTATTTTAAGCATTAGCTGACAGTCACACATACCTGATACTGTTGCCTGAGGAAATTTTCTGTCTCTGTATGGAGCTGAATCTCCTCATCAGTTTTGTTCTTCAAGTTCTGTGATCAGTGCAGACAGAAAATGTGAGAGTCAGTGTTAATGTGTAACACACTGCTGTTGAAAGCCAAGATAGAGTGCTGGAGCTCTGTGTAGTCCAGGGACATTTTTTCCAGTGACAAAATTAACTGAGGCAGTCCTTGCCCCTGGGCCATCCATGAAATAGGGACAATTAGATCAGACTTTGATCAGTCAAAAAAAGATGCTTGCAAAACCAAAACAGTTTTCTAGTCCAGTTCACCTTAGGTCCACAGGAGCAGCTCTGTCAGCACAGTCTGATGGGGGCAATGCTGGGAGCTCAGGCTGCCTGTGTGCTAAATACCCTTGTAACTACCCCTTTGGACATACTTATGGGTCTGGTTTTCTGACAGTGGCATTATGTTAAGCATTCACTGTCTCCTGCAGCTACACCATCTGTGCTGTTGCTGTTTGCAGGACCATACAGAGAAGCAATGGAAAATATAAAGGTTTCTAACCCCGATGAGTTTCCAGATCCAGTTCAAACAGCTGTGGTGGTGACTATAATGGAGAACAGGAAGGGCATCTGGGGAGCAAGGAAGGGCTCTGCCCTTTACTGACTGGAGATGCCTTCCAGTATGGGCCATGGGGAAGGGCTTACCTGGATTTCGTTGTTCAGGGCATTCTCTTCCTTGCTGCATTTCCTCTGGGTTTGGTGGATCTGGAGGTCTGTGTCTTTCTTCATGTAGGAGCTTTCTGTGTCCAGTTTGGCCGTCTTCTCTTGGAGTTTGTCTTTGAGGCGATCAATGATCTTGTCTCGGTTCTAGTGGAGACAAAAGCAGCACAAAAGCAAGCCTGGAGACTGAAGTCAGAATGCTAAACTCAGAAGAGACAAGGCTATAGGCCTCACACTTTCCCTGAATGTTGCTCTATTTCAACCTCTGCTTCAAAGGTTAGTTTGATTTGTAACTCATATAGATGGCAATAAACCCATCAGCAAGGAGTGATTACCTCTGGATACGGTGGAGTGATGAAGAGAGTGGGACGAGAAGCCAGGCCTTCTGGTCCCTCGTGCAGATATGGATTCAGACATGTTTAGTATAAACATGAAAGAAGCCAAATAGTTTTAGCCACTTAAAGCTAGGCTTTCCTTATACTAACTTCTTGGATTAGACCATCTCAGTGAGTGAGCATCTGTAAGAGGAAGATAATGGCTCAGCCCCAATTAAGCCAAAGTCTGTTATCCTAAAGTAAACTTTATTCCTTGGATTCATTTTTTCTAGTTATGCAGCAACTATATAAACTCAAATTTAGGAACAGGTGCAAATCTAATCCTGTCTTGCTTATATGTTTAAACAGTTATTTCTTGAAATCTTAACAGGTAGATGGTGCCCACTTTGTTACAAAAACATACACCCAGGGCAAGGAAGAAGTGTCAAGGAAAAGCTGACTATGAGCTCCCAGCCTCTCCCCATGCCTTGTTTTGTGATGGAGCTGAGCTTTCCCTTTCTATTTCTGCTCTCCAGAGCTCCCCCACAGGCAAGAATCCTGAGTGGTTTGTCCAGCTTTTGGAGTGTGCTCAGGAAGCAAAGCACACTTGCTTGATTTGGGATTGCTGTTTTGTTTACTCCTTTTTAATTAATTTCTTTCAGTAACGGATAAAAGTTCATCATTTCAGGGCTGGAACTTGGAAGAACCACCTGTAAAATGAAAAACTCTAGACTTTTGTATTGAGAGTTAAGAAGGTCATCAAAGCAAAGCCTCCTGTGCAATTATGCAGGATCAACGTGAACACCTCTGTTTTGGCACCCAATTGCTCTGTCATAGACTTTCTCTTTGCTTTCCTGCCATGCTGTGATGGGTTTGATATTCATCAGCCAAACCTCACAGCTGAAGATAAAGATGAAATGCCAAAGTGCCGGCATTTAAACCTTTTGAAGCCCACATATCTTGTCTGTGAAGTACCTCACATTCCTTAGCTGTGTAAACATGGAAAAATGCCACAGGAAGAAGCCAGCTCAACAGTGCTGCATTTGAAAGCCTCTGCAGCATGACTCATTTGGAAAAGGTTTCCTTATAAGAAGAGTTTGGAGCAGCTAAAAGGAAAGTCCTTACTTCTGCACTCCTTGTCTGACATAGTTAGGAAGAGTAAAGTACATTTATGAGGCTCATGACAACTGGGGCCCTTGGCTGATGGTGTTTTGGGGGTTCAAAGGTCAGGCGTTCTCATGCTTTTGAAGGTTTCCAACATCAGATACTATTTTACAGACATATCATCATATGACTGCAGACAGCTACAGACATGAGCTGTTTGTGCCCTATTAAGGCTTCTGCTAATGGCCTTTATTTTCCCTGGCATGGAATGTTGGTGGCTATTGGGAGGGGTTGTGTTCCCAGTCTGTAGACATGGAAGGTGAGTGTAACACTCTATTTTGAGATTGTCTTCCTGGGTCATGGTGTAATCGTGTCTACACTGAGGGGTTGGCAGAGAGAATGGGGAGATACTAATGGAAAAAACCCAATGTTTTGTGGTGCTGAGCCTCTGGGAAGTCAAGTGCTGCTGATGTCAGTGTGTTAATCCTATCTGCCAAAGATCTGCAAACAGGCTAGAAAAGAAGGGTTCAGCCTAGGTTACAAAGCACTCAGAGATATGAGAAGAGCATGAACATTTCACCAGGTTATTTTCTTTCTCATTTCATATTTGAGTAAAGAAAAAAGTGCTTTTGATCCCAGCACCCCAGGCCTCAGCCGGGATGGGGGCCCATCTGCTCTGTTTGTTTTCCCTGTTGTATGGCATGTTTGTGGTTTGGATTTGGTCTGCGGTGTTGTAAAACGTCCTGGTTAGAGGTGGGGAGTCTGGGGGCTTGGTTACACAACCCAAAGCAGATGGGAAGTGAAATGCAAAACCCCTCTGGAAGTGAAATGCAAAACCCCTCTGGTGGTTTACAGCAGCGTCTGCCTGGAGAGGGAGAGTCATCTGCAGGGATGAGGGCAGCTCCTGCTGCTGGACCTGGCGCTGCAGATCTGGGCATGTTCGGTGTTCGGCTGCAGGGAGTAAATGCTGCAGTAAATGCCCACAAGCTGTGGGCACCATCTGCAGAGTGTGCTGTTCCCTGAACTTCAGGGACAGGCACTGGGAAAATGAGTTAATATTTATTCGTTCTGGTTTATCATAGCAAAGGTCCCCGCCAGGACACGGAACGCTTTCGTAGCTGATGCAGTAAATCTCTGGGCTGCTTATTTGGGATGACTTCAGTGTTGAGTCTGCCAAACCAAAGATGCAAAATCATTCCTTGTGTCCAAAACTATCAGAAAACTGTCAGAGACCAAGATCAAAACCCAGGAAATAGTTGTCAGGAGCCAGTCTGCTTCACAAGCAGGTAAACAAGCTGATTTTCTCTGATCTCTCAGCTCACAGACATCAGCTCAGAGGCCTGTCTGCTGTCACCCAGTGCCACAGGAGTCTGCCCCACAGATGCTGTTTGGCTGCAAAAACAACTGCACTTAGCTGGAGACTAGTTATCTGCACTCCTGTGTTTTCATTTACTTTGATTTATCTCTCTTGTAAGTGCCACGAAGATCTCCCAGCTCTTCCACAGCAATTAGTGTTTACAGTCATTTGAAATACATCTGGTTACAAAAGTAGCCAATAGGAGTAAACAGTCTGAGGAATTCCCCAGCAGTCAGATGAACCTCCTGCCGCCAGCAGCACTCCCCGTGCTGCCATTTGGCAGGGGAAGGGGTGCTGTGCTCCGTGCTGGCAGCCCCGGTGGGAAGCCCTGCTGCCTCTGCCTTGCTCCCACACCCAGTGCCTCGGAGCTCAAGCCTCTCACTGGCAGCTGCAGCATCTCAGCTTGCAGAGCCTGGAGATATGCTTAGATCTGCACACCTGCTGCAGCCTGGACCCGCTCCCCCTGAAACCACAACGTGTGGCCCTACAGACACTTCAGTGAGGCCACAGCCTGCATCTCTGTCCCAGCTCCAGAACATCCCCATGCTGCACACCTCCAAGGAATGTCAGGGCCCAAAGGACAGAGGGGCTGGCAGGTCACCCAGCTTCAACACAACAGCTTCTGCAGCCCTCTGCCAGCTCACGTACAATCCCAACAACTGTAGGAGAGAGCTGGTGAGAGGCAGCTGCAGAGAGAGCAGGACATCTTGGCAGCAGCACTCCTGTGGAAAGTCGTGCCCCTCTGGAGCCAGGTTTGGATCTGGTGCACCAGCTCTGGGTCCTGCTGCACTCCCTGTGACTCTGCCAGCAGTGGAATGAAGTCATGCAGAAGCTCAGGACCATTACAAACCTTGTGCCTTCTACTGTAATCACCTGGTGCATTTCTCCAGTAGAAACATGCACCAGTGGCTGTGTATGTTTAATACATTCCCTAGAACACTCCATTGATGCATGTCCTGGGAGAGGAAAAGGGAAGAAACATGATGGATTTTAGTCATACTACTAAAAGCACGACCAGGTGGGGCACTGATACAGTGGAGCTGGATGTGTTATGACAGCCCACACAGAATTGAAGTTATGGACCTCTTTTCACTGGTACCGTGGTGCGATGGCTTGGATTCCTATCTGGTTGGTAGCTGCAATATTTACTGCCTGTTACACCACACTTGCACACATGTATGGCACGAGTGTACACAAAACCTGCAGGACATAAAAAGTCTTTGGGCGAAGAGCAGTGCAGGAATGCTGAAGTTTACATTCCTAAATTTTTATGTTAAGGTGTATAATTCTATGTATTAATTTGTTTCAAAACCTGTACAGACTGCCATCACTTGTCCAGGAAACCCAAGAAAGTGAGTATTTTTATACAACCTAGAAAATGAACACTGCAGCAGCAAACAGAGCCCTGCAGCCAAACCTGAGCTACCGGTGCTGCCGCTGCACAGAGGGGTAAGAGCAAAACCAGACAGATCATTTCAGCTCCTTTACAGACGTCAGTGCTTTCCAAGAGGAAAGAAAATAAAACAAGAACATTTAGCATTTGATTTGTGTTCCATTAGAAAGAAAAATGAGCTGAGCAGGCTAATAAAGTATTAATTAGCATCTCATTAAGAAGTAGCAAGAATGAGAATACATATACACAGGAAACATGAGTGAAGCAAAGGCCGTGTTTTTCTGGTTCCAAGATTAGATTTGCTTGCTTTTGTTTTCTCATCCACTAGGCTGGAGACAACCATGTAGGCTTTTGTCTACAGGTCTATGCATTATTATTGTTGTTCAAAGTACTCCAAAATCAGCAAGCTGTATTTTTGTTTTTAATTTGTTGGCAAGGTGACAAATCATGCAAGTGTCTGTAAAACTGCCTACGGGAAAATCCCATATGAAGCAAATAGAAATTACTCTCCCTTGGGAGATGCAGTGAGACACCATTATTTTTGGCACGGGAGGAAAGCAGTACTTGAAAGTAGTCTTGTCTTTGATTTGTTATCAAAGCCAAAACTATAAGGAAGCCCAGAAAAGGACTTCTAAGATTAAAATATTAAATACCAGATGAGTGCAGATCCCACTTGATGAGGCAAAACCCAAGAACTGATTAGCACTGAAGGGACAAGGAGAAGAGCCTCCTCTCGGCACGGGAGCTACGCACGTTCTTATGACTGCAAGAGGTAGAAGAGGTGCAGGTCAGGACACAGAGAAGTGCCCCTTGTCTGCACAGTGCCAGGACACTGCTGCTGGTGCGAGGTGGGATGGTTACAGCCCCCCACATACCAGACCTTGGGAAGGCATTAAACCAGAACTGGGTACATATACTGTATGCACAGACGTGGTGAGGTTTGAGGAGCACTACACAGAAGGAGAACTCCCTCATCACATTCACTAGCTTGGGGAGTGGGAGAACAGAAACTTCTCAGGAGCCATCAGAGCCTGACTAAGAAGGGACAATGTGCAAAAGCAAAAAGATCCATCATTTTTTTACAACCATCCTGTATTTACAATTAAACTTTCCACTGCATATGCATCCAGGCTGCCAACACAAAACCTTCATGTTCTACAAACCAAACTTCATCAGCATGTCAGTGGCTTAAAATTCCTCTGTGTAGTCAACTATATCCTGGCTTGATTACTGTCTGCACTATTGTCCAAAGACAAAATTCAGTGATACCAGTTCTTTCTTCAGATGCCCTTGCTGTCCTCTTGCTCACTACTGAACAAAGAGTCAGATTCTTGTTCCTCCAGCCCCTGTACAGCCCTGACCCTTTCGCTCGTTTGCTATCACACACTGACTCCTGCCCTAGCAGGGCCATGTTGCATGAGCATCAAGTCTGAGCTGTCTGGTGAGCATTACAGTGACCAGTGATAAGCCACTGGATTGATCTGCACTTGTGTAGCAAGTCTGACGTTTCCAGAATGCCCCAGATCTACTGCTCGTGCACACACTATTTGCGTGATGCAGACAGAAGGGCTGAAGCTTTCCAGAAAGATCAAGTTGACAGCATATGTGCAATAACATTGATCTGCCCTTGTGTAGGCATGTTTGGGATTTTCTAATGTCTGGAAGCCTAGAAAAATACTATAATGGCATTTTTCCCAGACAAAAATGTAGGTAGAAAAATGACCTGCCCCTATACAAAGTGTCTCTCTTTCTCATTCCTTCTTTGTCACATTTTCTTCTGTGCCAGATGATCTGCATGAGTATGAGAGAACCTTAGATACTGCTATCTGTAGGTAACCTTTTTCTCACTGATTGCACGTATCTGTGCTTTGCCACTCCCAGCTGTGTTCTTAGGATATTCCAATTTGATCATGATGATTATGAGCATTTTGAGCTCCCATTTGAAAACCTCTGGACACTGCTCTCGCAGTCATTAGTGGGCTAATTCCAAATACAGATCTTTATTGCAGTTATTCTACTTCTGTATTCCTAAATGATGGATCATTCTGGATGCCACAGGTCCTTCCTCCCTGAGTACTAGATCCTGGGCAGTAGAGTCGAGCTTGCTAACAGGCTTCCCCCCTGGCACAATGCCCAGTGCTAAGTGCTCTCACCTGAAGGTCTTTTGCAGTTTGTCTCTTGACATCTTGCAGCTGTTTCTGGAGTGACTTTATCTCCTTCTTTCCTTCCTCCTCCCTGAAGAAAAGTGGGAAAATACAATTACTTCAATGTGTCAAAAAAGACAAGAGCTGTTTACCTAGAAAGGGAACTTCCTGTCTCCTGATACATTGTGGAAAGATAAACAGAAACTTCTCACCAAAACTATTGACTTGTTCAGTAAATCCTGAAAGAAGAGGTGCACAAAGGGAGCAAGGCGGATGGGGATGAAAGGGAGAATGAGCCAAAAAACCAGGGGATGCTCTTGTTAAAAGCCTGGAGTGGACTTAAGGATGATGCAATTCCTATAGCAGAAAGGGAAGATGCCTGTCATTGAGTCACAGTTTCTACATTTCAGTAGATTCTAATTCTGTGCAGAAGTGTGTCTGAGCAGCAGAGTGCCAGCTTGTGTGTCATTATATATGGAGAATGTTTTTTTCATATTAGACTTAAAATCTTCCAAAAAACACTGTCTTAGGTTCTGAGATCCATGAAGGGATCTAAGTGAAGGCCAAAAGCTAGAGAGGTCCATCTGTCTAAAACAAAGCAGATGCAGTAATGTTTTAGGTGGTATTATCTTATTTCGGTCAGAGCACTTAGCTTTTATGCTCATGATTTGATTTAAAACCAGTAAATACTACAGTTGGCACCTGAGACTTTGTATCCTATCCCAACCTTACAATCACACATGCATTTAATTTTCAGAGTCCTTAGCTAGTTTGACTATGATGAACAAAAGCTCCTGATAAGGAGTCCCAGTGTCACTGAAGACGCCTTTCATAGTGTATTCACACACAAACCAGGCAAGTATTTATTATCTTGTAAGACAGATCAAGTTCATTCCATGAAAAGAATGTACAGAAGAACAGAGTGGCTAGACATGATTGACAGAATGGAATAAAAAGCATTATGTACTTTCTCATTATAATCTGTCTGCTCCTTTCTGCCCTCCAGTAGTGGATAGTTATTCCACAACCAATTGCTACTCTCATTTTTGCTTTTTGTCCCTTCCATGGATAAACAATAAATCCCTTGGTTTTAGACAGTGGAAGAGTTGGGGTTCATGCTTGAAATCACACATTCCACTGGAAGCTGAGGATTTGCCCTGGAGGCAGACCCCTGAGCCACCACAGGAGCTGTTCCAGTAGGTTGGACTCATGACAAATCATGACTTAGAGCAGCTTTGCTGTGCACCCTAAATGATGGGCCTGAGCTGCTACACAGAGCAAAGTAGCTTTAAAGTGGTCAAATGCTTGTCTGATGACTGTGATTCTCTCTGACAGTCTTCGGGTTGAACCAGGGTTTTGCATGCTAAAAAAATTCCAAGCCTCCAGTGCTCAGAAATTTGAGGTAAGGAACCACCAGTGCTGAGATGATAACAAACCTGTACCCTGAAAGATTTGGGACAGAAGAGGATCTACAGTGCAGTGGCTGGTGGATTAGCCTTAAATAAGACAATTCCTCTGTCACCATCTGTGCTGAACCCTCACTGCTGCTGGGAAAGGGGAGCCAATTAGCACATGGGTCAGAGCAGATTCTCCTGGGCATCAGATAACCTAAAGGCCATATGTTGCTGGTCCTGGTTTGAACAGATTCTCTGCTGCTCTGGCTTTCACTGGGGACAGGAGTTAAAGATCAGGGAGCTCCTACATCACATTATGTTTTAATTGAAATGAGACAGCATTTGCATTAATGCAGACACTGATGTGTCCACTGTGGTTAAAGCTCAGGCAATTCCTAGCTCAGATCAGTATCAGAACTATTCACTAATTGTTTCTGAAGGGAAAAGAATTGCAGTTTGTAAAGGAAGCAGAATACTTCAAGTTGAAAAAGTAGAATCTCTTCTGTATTTTGGTTTTATTGGGTCTTCTTCCTTTTCAGCATGTACCAAGTGGGAATGGGTTTGGCTTTCAGCAGTTAAGCAGAGAAGAACTGAACACAACACTGACCTGATGAGGACGTCATAAAACTTGCTCTTTTTTATCTTCTCTCTCTCATTAGCTTCTGTTAGGCTATTAAATATTCCCGATTCCTGCATCTTTTTCATAGTGACAGCAATTACATCACTTGCATACTGCCTGCCAGGAACAAAAGGAACACAACAGTTCTTTACAGGTGTTGGTACTACAGTGTCTGGCACCTTTATCCATTACTGTTTATAGAAAAATGTAAGGAAATAAAAGATCCCTTTTCTGTTCTTACATCCTACCAAACCCAGGAGTGCTTCTCCCATGGTATCTGCTTCTTGTACATCTGAAAAACTCTGTATTAGGAGTTGGTTGAAGTTTATCATTTAAAAATGCTGGCTGTGCTGCCATAAGGAAGGAGGCTGCTGGCCTGCAGTTGTGGTGACAGATAGGTGGATCCTGGAAAATGAGACCTGGGGATGCAAGTAAGTGTGTCTGTGGGGGGATATCTGGATGCCAAAATATTCCAGTACAGCCCTAAGCTGATCTTAACAAATAACATGGGCTTGTCCAGTTTATTGAAGGTTATGGTGCATATGACATTTATATTTTGGCAGCTCCCCCGTCTGTCTTTTAAACCAAAGGCCGCTGGTATTTCTGTAAATCAAGACACTGGATTAGGTGCAGGAATAAAGTTTGTTTTAAAAATGAAAGAAAATATTTAGTCTTATCTGTTCTATAAAGGAGAATGGCTCTAACTGCCACAGAAACTCTGTGTGCCCTGCAGAATGAGTTCAGGAGAAAGCTCAGATCCCACTTTGCCTGTGGGATCTGCTAAGGGAACCTGACTCCAGGTACCAGAACATCAGCACTGATTAGTGTCTGGCATGAATTCCACCCAAGCAACCATTATCAACTGGGTAATGTTTTGCAGCTCCATTCAAAATAAACTGCTGGTCATTATGGGGCATCCAGAGACAAGCAATGGCCAGAACCGAATGGCCTATGAACCTCGATCCCACTGTTATCCTTAGAGGAACTTCTGGACCAAGACTGAAGCACTCTGACAGTGGGGAGCATGTATTTTTGCTTTCAAGAGATAGACTGAGAACACCTGAGCATCCTCCACAGGTGCTTCACTCACCTGTCAGCCTCAATTTTTCTGAGCTTCTCTGCAGTCACAGCACTGTGTTTCCTGTCCCTTTTGGAAGGCTGATGGGTGCTTTTCCCATCTTCAGTTTTCCCCATCTGCTGCTTGGGTTCAGTGTTTTTCAGGGCCGTGGAGGTAACTGTTTCCTCACCCTCTTGCCTTGCTGACATAAGCTCTGGGTCATTAATGTCCAGCTCCTTCTGGGTCTCTATGATTTCTTTCATTTCCTGGATGCCAGTCTAAAAGGGAAGAAGAGACCTGCTTGCACACTGAGCAGTAGAAATAAACCCTCTGCAACATTATGTGAGAAGAAGAAAGATTAATAATAAACTAGAATAAAGCTTTACTAAGAGCAGTTGATAGTGCCTGTTACAGTCTGCAAAGAGTGGAAGAGCAGAAACATTTATGTTGCTTAGCTTTGAGCACACAGTGTAGCTTATTGATGTTTATGGGCTCAAAAGCCCTAAAGTGACAGGACTAGAAGAAGCCTCAAGAGGTGAATTCATCCGCTCCAAGAGATGCTGGTTCAGACTATGTCATTCCTGACATGTCCTTAATGGCCTCCAGCAAAGGACTACACACCCTCCTGCCAGTGCCAGCACCTCTCAACAATCTTTACCGTAAGAAAGTTTTTTCTCCTCAGCAGCAGCTGAGCCCCTGGCTTGTCGTCCTGGTCTCTGTAGGCACAGAGAACAAATCATTGCCTCCTTTTTTGCAGCAGCAGCTTTTATGCACTGGAAGACCGTTAGCCTGTTTCCCCTCTGCCTTATTTCCATCTTAGACATCTCCCACTGCCTGTCACCACGACCTTTGCCTACAGTATTAGTGTTATAACTAGAGCCGTGTGGAAATAAAAGTGACAGACATCAGCTATCTGCTTAGCAGGTTTTTTGAGAGAGTGACAGCAGAGGAAGTGTAGCATGAATTCAAAAATGAAATTCAAAATATTGGCAGCTCTTTCTGCATGGAAAGTTATCTTGTGGACGTGTACAATTTTATTAATAAAAGGCAAAGGCCCAGAAAAAGCAAAATGAAAAATTATAAAATTGGCTAAGCTTTTGCTTCCAGGAATTTCTCTGCTTTATGTGCTATGGGTGAGAATGCAGGTGTGTACTCTGGGACACTAAAAGAGAAATTTTTCTTGCCTGCCTACCAGCATCTCTGTGGCTGAATACTTCCTAGCAGCAGTGCTGACACCAGCTAACACAGTCACTGCCAACCCCATCCCAGTCCACAGCTGCCTGCTCCCCACCCTGGATGCATGGGGAAATGGATAAAGAGCTCACTGTGATGAAACATTTTCCAGCAAAAAGGAGGAAAAAAAAAAAGGTTATTTTTGGCAGCACCAGTTCTCAGTCCAGATTCTTCAACAACCACACACACACATTTGTGCCAATAGAGTGCAGAGAGGGCAGAGTAAAAACAAGTGGTCAGGGCAGCAGCTGTGGATGCCAGGAGTACTTCCAAAAAGTTACTTGTCAAGTGAGGCTCCATTAGTGGTCTGTGAGGGTACTGCAAAGGGCTGCTTCCTTATCAATGTCTTGGACAACTCTGGATGGGATGGATCAGCCTCTGTCAGCGCCTGACTCCTCACTGACTACAGAAGGAGGCTAAGTAACTACATGCTTAATTTTTGGACAGTTAAATTTACATTAAATGAATCACATGCAAAATATACCCAGACCAATGAAAATTATGTAGCTAATTAGTAAAAAAAGGTTAAATAGCTAGCTGGTGATGGCTGTACTTCAGAAAGAACTAATTTTGGCAAACAAACTGCTTTAATATCATGTAGATTTTATGAGTATTCTGACAGATGCTTTTTAATGTCTGGGAAAATTCAAGACAGGCAATAACTGGATTGTCTATAAACAGTAGGGACTTACACATGACCAAATAACTATGTAAGAGCAAGAAGTTTGTAAACTGCCTGTGTTACCATCTCCTAATAGAATTTTGTCGGTTGCCCAAAATTCAACAAATAGAAAGGCTGCCTCCCTCTGGGGGATGCACTGTGTGAAGCAGTGTACAAGAGCATCTAATTTGGTAAAATCAGTGAGGTGCTGGCCAACACTGTGATTAATCCTCTCAGAAATGTCATCAATTGACATTTAGATGTCAGTCTTTAAAAATGCCATTGATTTGTTTGACTGACAGAGCTCCAGGGTGCTTTGGAAATACAGGTCTTCTACAAATACAATGAAAACAGGCAAGTGGAAACTGAGAAACAGGGAGGAATAACAAATTACAGAGCACCAAAGTTAGCAAGTCGCTTCCCTAAGCCATTTTCTTGTTTCTAAATTGTTTCCTTCTCAATTTGTTTTGGCATCTTTAAGAGCAGAAGTAGGGCTTATTATCTGGGATAAAGTTGTGTACTAAGCAGTGACTTGGTAAAAATGAGCATCTGTGATTGAAAAGTGAAGGTATTTTCTCTATAATTTAAGTGTACCTTCAGTAGGTCTATCAGCCTGAATCTGTGTGTCTGAAGAACTCCTACTGTCCCAGAGAAACGCTCTTTTTCTGTGTTTTGCTGCTGGCACATAGGAGGTTTCCCACTAGCTCAGAGAGGGAGAAGCATCCTCTGCGAACAGATGACGCCGGCTCATAGGAGTCTTTAAGGGGAGGAGTGCCCTCTATGGCACAGTCTGAGCATCGTTCCCGCCCTGAAATTCCTGTAACTCCGGCTGCTGCTGCTCTGCGATGAGTTTTTCGAAAAGGTAGTATGGCAAGGAAACACGTGAAAAACATGTTTATTTGCGTTCCTCTGGCATTCTTAACTGGTACATTAGACAGAGTGAACATCATCAGATGTGAAAACTCGGATCCCAGTTTTTATTTCCATCCCGATCTCACACTTTTTTCTTGAGTTCATCTTAAAAAAGTTTCAAACCTGCTAAAACTGGAAACAGCCTGCTATATCACTTAAAATATATGACTGCAGAACTTAGAACCAGTTACCCCTCAGGATGGTCCCATCCTGTTTCCTATGTCTAACAGCCACTAGAAACATCACAACACCTTCCCCCACAGCAACAAACCTCTGCCTGAGCATTAGGCCTTCTCTCGTCATATCTCTGCCCAAACCCTTTTAGTTGCAATACCTATTAGAAATCAACTAATAATTAGTGATCACTGAGAAAGGGTAGTTACTAATATATTTTGAAGTGCATCTTTCTTAATGCATTGTCTGTGGGAACAAAAGGAACTTTATCATGGACTTAGAGAGGAACAGAATTACCCTGGGTTTGAGTACTTTCAAACCTCCTATTCATTTCTACTTTTAAAATAGCTGTGCATCTCCATAAGAACCTACATATGTTTTGCTTCCTTTTCCCTAATCATTTGATAGTCATCTAACCACCAAGATTTTAAAATTATTAGCCCAGGAAATCCATTACAGGTCAGTAGGGTCCTCTGCAAAGTCTTGACAAAGGCTTCTCAGTGGTGCTGCGGTATAAGCATTAAAATTGGTCATCTGTGCACTTTTATTGTGTTTCTCCACCCAGGGGTCATGGAGCATTCACAGAAAAAATACTTGAACTGATTTTTAAAAAATGCTGGTAAAAGACAAGAAAAAAAAAAAGAAGAAGATATATATTTTTTTAAGCAGTGTGGATATAGGCACATACATGGCTGAGGTCTGTCTTGTCCTCATCTGAAATTGGCATGATATACCCAAGAATTTCAAGCTGATCGACACAGTTCTCCAGCACAGCAGCAAACAGCAGAGCTTCCAGATGAGTGACTTTTTCCATTTGTTTAGTCTCTGTGTCCTTGCCAGGAGGAACAAAGATAAAAGATACCAATCAGAAAAACACTATGGTGTTAGTAATGTTGGTAACAGTAGTTTAAACTAAAGGTAGACACGAAATAGCTTTATTTGCAGCCTTACATATACTTCCCTGGCTTTGTTTATAGCCTTGCATACACTGTTTATAAGAGGAGCTGTGCTCTGCTAATGGCTGCATTCAGGGACAGTGGGAATGTTTAGCTTTCACAAAACAAAGAGGTCCTGGTCCCTCCTACGGCAGATCTGGGTGGACAGGCTGGGGAGGGAATGGATATGGGGGGCACAAAGTGAGTGGGGTGCCTCATCCTTCACTTCAGGAGGGAGCAGTGTTTCATAGTGGACTTTGGGAAACAACAGAATGAAGGTGCCTTTTTTGAAAGGAAAAAATTAACTGACGTCTTATAAAATCACAGACAGTGAACCTTCATGGCTTAATCATTCCTCATTATTTACTGTGTAGCCTTCACAATTCTATGATCCCAGTCCCCTCAGCAGGAAGTGTTACCACCTTAAGATGCTGAAGGTCAAACAAGAACCAATTCTTGGACTAAATAAACTATCTTTAACATTCTGTGTTATTTCACTTTAAATTGCTCTTCAAACGTGAAACTACTCTGACATACACTTAAGCACCCCTTTGCCTTGCTTACAGATGGAATATTGTGAAAGCACATTGAGGGAAAGGTGGAAATTTGCTATTAAAAAATACCTAAGAAAACACATGCACAGTAATGGAGAAATTATCTGAGAATTACAATGTTTTAATAAGCCATTGGACAATACCTCCAAAGCCTGCACGGACAAACCAGATATTTATTGTATAACGTGTAGCACAACTGGAGTCTGTGATGGCTGAGATCCTGAGTGGCATTGCAATTGGAAGCATCAACATCCACTAACAAAACCTTCATTTGGCTGCTGTACCTACAAGTGGGTTTGTGCCATCTGTAAAACCCTTGAATAAACATATTCTAGGCCTGCAGAATATTACAGTCCAATCTGTAAGTGTGCCAAGGAAATACATCAGACAGTGCCTGTTAGCATAAGACATGGCCACAATTCTATGAAAATTAGAGGTTTGGATGCAGTTATGCTCTGGATCACTGGAAGTCAGTGATATTTCATAAGCAAGTGTTTAAAAAAATGCATACTTGCTATAACCTCTCTGAAGCTGTTATCATTTGTCCTGATACTTTTTTGTTGTTTTTGTTGAAGAAAATATATTAATTTCCAGTTGGAATGTGAAGTTAATTTCATGTGTTCAGGAAAAAAGGGCCATTTCTCAGTTCAGGTTTATTTGATGTCTGTTAGTACAGAATAGGTGAAACAAAAATAACTTCGATTTTACATATTTGTTTCCTGGTGTCCCTCTGTTGCAGTAAGTTGTTTAATGTGTTGAAATGTGCTGTCCTTTATAATAGGACACAGCTCTCCTTGTGGAAAAGATTACAGCTGGAAAGTGTGCCAGGGGCACTGACTGGGATTGCTCTCTGTAAATACATAGGAAGAGTAGATACCAGGGAGACACAGAGGTATTTAAGTTAAAGGATAATACTGGCCCAGGGTCAAAGGAGTGTAATTTCCCCTAAGCCAAGCAATTATGATAAGGTTTCTAACTTCTGGATGGATGAAGATATGGAACAGCCTTTCAGACAAAGTAATGGTAGGGGCACCCTGATTTATTGCAAGAAGCTGCTTAAATCATGGCAGGAAAAGATAACAGCCAAGCAGGGATTCTGAACATTGTGTTCAGTGTCCTCCTTGTATTATTTATACCCACTTACCTAATATAATCCCACTGTGCAGGGCTTTTGATGACAAAGATGGAACTGATTTCATCCCTTTGCTTCTGAGATTTTTTTCCTCTCCTTTATCTTAATTTAAAAAAAAGAAAAGTAACATCTTGAGATAGGAATCCGATAATAGCATTAACAAATAAATAGCAAATAATCTGTATAATAAACTAAACCCATCACTTTTCCTTTCTTTTCAACCTTGGAATCAATGATAGAAGTGGAGATACAGAAATTAAGTATTTTTACATCAAGAAAGTCAGACAGTGTCTTTTTCCAGTCCACAGGCACTAATAAAATATTTTTAAATGTTTTACTCATTTTTGTCTTTTTCAGAAATCTAAGATCCATGTTTTGAGTCTAAACAACATGAGAATAATCTATTACATGTGCAGTCCTAATGCTAAAAATATGATGAAAAAAGATGTGTTGGGAGATAGCTTGACAGATGATTATGGCAGCATTTTTTAAAGAAAAAAAATGCAGCTCTCATAGGAAAAAGTGACTTATTTGGAAACAAAGGAGGATGCAACAGCTTTTCCTCTTTCTCATCAGCAGCTTCTGCCCAAGAGAGAATTAACTCAGGATATCAATGTTGCTGAAATATTTCTCTAAAGCCTTTGCTCCTCCTGTACATCTCCTCTTATATCCCTATCCTCGCTCAGGAGATCCACATGCCAAGCCAGTAGGCTCTGGGCTTATACTGACTTGGAAGTGAGAAGGAAACCACTGTCTGGGGCATTAGGAAACACTACAAACAGGAGCTGCTTGCTCTGGATTTCAGTGTCAATGCAGTGCCCACAGACCCTCCCGATGCAGCCACTGGCACTGCCCTTCATTGCTGTGTTTGCTGAACTCCCTCATTAAACTCTATTAATAATAATTAAAAAAAAAAAAAAGTACGTGAAGGATTCAGCTTCCCCCAGGAGTTTTGGTTGACATTCTTTCCCTGCTGATATAAAGAGAAAGGAAAACAAATCAAGAAATAATTTTTAAAACAACTGTATAAAAAGGCTTGGCCCCCTGTTCCTTTGGGGATTGCAACTCCCTCTGCTGTGTGAGAGCCCTGGATGTTCATTTCTCCCACCCTGCTGCCCGAGACATGAAAATGGCTTCAAAGGCAGCATTTTGTGCAGCATCCCTTTGAGTCAGCTAAAGAGATTCTGGTGAATTCCAGTGAGAAAATGCATAGCTGAGGATGCCACATCTCCTTTTGCTCTCTTCGGCAAGTGATTGGCATGGAGAGGTGCTGAACATCCACCACAGCAGCAACTGCACCAGAAATCACAAATAGCTTCATTTTTACCAAAAAAAAATGGCTTAACAAAACTCTGCCTTTGGCTACAAATGTTAGAATGGAAGGTGCTCATTTGAAAAAAAAAATAAGGGAAAGGAAGGGAAAGGGGAAAGGGAAACCTTGAAAAGCTGAAGTAATCTTGGTTTTGGCTTAGAGGTGCAATTTAGGTTTCATCCTGACTGTGGAGAAAGACTCCCTCAGAGCTGCTGTGCTCTGAGGCTGTACCAGTGAGAACCCAGGAGAGCCCAGGAATGAAAGATGTGGTGCTACTTTCAGCCGTATGTCCCAAATGAGACTAAAACTATAGGGGACAGGAAAATATAAGATTTAGGGAGCATTTATTGGCTCTGGCATCTCTACTGCTGGAAAACAGTGTTTTCACAGACCCTGTATTCTCCTCAAAGCAGAGACTGTGTCCTTTCTCTATGTAGAGGCTCCATGCTTATATTTTATACTGTTAACTGTGTAGATGACTGAGTGTTGCTTTGCTTTCTACCTCTTCCTTAAAGTAGAAATCAACAGACAATTTGGAAAATTCATTATATTCCATCACTTCTCTGCTCCTACTTTCTAACAGTTTAATCTCTCTAAGAAAAAACTCTGCATCTACGTTTATAAGGCATAGAGAGCTTCTACACTTGCCCAGCAAAGTACAGATAGATTTAACTCTCCTCCTGGATGGGGATTTAATTCCTCACTCAAGCTCCTCAGGTTAATTAATCCCTCAGGTTCAAGCTCTCCATGCCCAGCTGGTGACAAGATGTCAGTAGATTTTGCTCGAGATCCATTTTTTCATAAAAGCACTCTGAGCACACATTCCAAAGCACTCGGGAACAAAGTGACAGTGAAAGCCCGGCCAGCCAGGGCACATCTCCTATTGGAGGAAGTTCCTAAATCACCTAAAGCGGTCTGAAAATGCACCTGAATGTGTGGCAATGTCACACAGGGAAGTGAGAGGAATCGGGAGTGAATGACTCTGATGTGAGGAAATGGTGACTACGTGCTGCCAGCTGTTCTTATCTAGAAAACACAGGGGTGTAAGACTTCATTACAGGGATTTGAGTGTAGGAACGTGTTTTCTGTCACTGAGGCGATATCGGAAGTAAAATAAATACGAGATGATTCACTAATTCAAGGTGAGAACAGAGGAAGACGGGCAGGGCCCGGAGCCCACCCCGAACACCAAGCGCTGCCCTTCTCCTCCTCTGGCTCGTCGGCTCGTTCCACCGCCACAGCCGGTTCTCGCTCGCTCCGCCCAGCCCGGCCGGGCCTCCCCTCAACTTCCCACCCGGATTTCCCCCTTTCCCGCTCCCACCTCCCGATCCCGGTGCCGCTCCTCCCTCTCCTCCTCACCGGGACGCTCCGCCCGTCTCCATAGCAACCCCCACGCTCGGGGGCCTCGCGGGGCTGCCCAGGCGGGCGCCTGCGCGGCGGGTCTAGGGCCGCCCTTCCCCGTCTCTCCCGCCTGGGATCGCCCCCGGGGGACGCAGGGACGGGGTGAGGGGCGCGGCAAGGGCGGCGCGGGGGCCGCTGTACCCCCTCCACCACCACCGCCATCAGCACCACCGTCTCGGTGCCGCCCGCTCAGGCGGCGTCCGGGCGGCCCTTGGCGGGTCCTCGCGGCGCTCTTCCCGGCGGGCCGCGCGGGGCGGGTCTCTCTGGCCGCCATCTTGGGGCGCTCGGGGTGAGGCGGAGCGGGGCCAGCGGGGCTCGGGCCGGGCAGCGGGGCCGGGCGGGGCCGTCCCCCCTGCGGGGCTCGGCGGTGGGCGAGGGGTTCCCGGGGCTCTCCAGATGGCGCGGTGCGGGCCGGGGAGAGTGCGGGATGGCGCCGATGCGCGGCGGATGGTGCCCGCCGCGGGTCGGGGCCCTGGGCCGGAGGCGCCCGGGGCGGCCGCGCTTGGGGGAGCGGAGGGTCGCGGGGCTCAGGGTGGCCCCCAGGTGTTCACTCATCGCTGTGTGTCGTTTCCAGGCCTGCCGGGACCGGGTCTGCGGGAGGACGCCATGACCGGGAGGTGAGTGACTGCCCGGGGAGGATCGGCTCGCTGCTGCAGCGCTATTCACCTGGGCATTTCTGGGAGTGTTGAAACAGCGAGCAGTGATGCGTGTTCCTGTGGCTGCTCTAGTTTTCCAGGATGACTCCTCTGCCCGGTGTTCTGCTTGGCCCACAGATCTATGTCCCTATTCCGAAGCCGCTGTCACGGGCTGTTATAGCTGTTGTAAGGCTGTGCCATGCTTTCCTTGGCCTGTCACTAAATGCGGGATATCGATGGTAGTTTTGTTAGTACAGTGTTTGTGGACCTCTAGTGTGCAGGAGAGGCTTGGACATCCTGTTCCCTTGAGTAAGGGAGCTACTATGCCATCGAGATTTTTTGTTGATGTAGGGACTGAGTTTGTAAATGGGGGGGATTGACTGAGTACTCTGTTGTCCAGAGTGGTTTTGGACACCTCCCTGGAAGTGTTCAAGGCCAGGTTGGATGGGATTCTAAGCAACCTGGTCTAGTGGAAGGTGTCCCTGCTCATGGCAAGGGGGTTGGAACTAGGTGGTCTCTAATGTCCCTTCCAACCCAAACCATTCGATGATTCTGTGAATCACAGCTTTGTCTTGACATTTATTCGTGGAGTTCATCTCCTGTTATACATGTGTGGCAGGGAGAACTGGATATCTCAGCTTGATCCTGCTATATCCTGGGGCAGGTGGTGGATGCAGTTGGGACAGATGTGCTGTGTGCACGGTGTGTAGAGCAGCCTTATAATGCCTTTACCTGGGTAGTGCAGACAGGACTTTGTCCTCAAGAGTTGCTGTGGAGTTTGTGTAATGTCTGTGTCCAGTGGATGTGGAGTTGTGTCTCTGGCTGCCTCCAGAGGCTGCAACTAATTCCTTTGAGGCTACAAATTAGGAGCAGTTCATACTTTTTGTAGAAGTTACTGCAAGACAGGAGGCTGTTTTTGTGGTGTGTAGACAAAAAGCCGTGTTTATTCATAGTGTATCAGTAGACATTTGGAAACATCACTTGCTAATGCTGAAACACTTCAGCTTTAGTGTAAAGCTTGTAGTGTGGTGTCAGCTGCACAGTTCTCATAAATACTTCATGACTGGGTATTTGGGTTTCCTCTGTTCACTGGACGTAAGGATTTGCAGTGATTTGTAAAGGTGGGGTTTTTCCTCTGCTGAATTTCTACCAGTTTGTGCTGAAATAGCACGTGATTTGTTTTTACTTTTGTTACCTTGGAATGAATTGTAACTTGCAAACATTCTTGTCTCCAGACTGTGGTGCAAGGCCATTTTTGCTGGCTACAAACGTGGCCTCCGAAACCAGCGGGAGCACACGGCTCTTCTGAAGATCGAAGGTGTTTATGCCCGCCAAGAGACAGACTTCTACCTGGGCAAGAGGTGTGCCTATGTGTACAAAGCTAAAAAGTAAGTCACTTTTTATTCTTATGTTGAATTAGCCAACTCTTGTGTCAGCTTTTGCACTTGCCAGGATGTGAGCAGGCTGTTCACAAAGCTGTTGTTAAATCCAGCACATTTTCGTTTTATCAATAGAGTGTCCGTGGAGTGCTTTGTGGACCAGTTTCCTGGCTTAGTTTTGTTTTAAAAGTTCTTGGTTATTTTTGCTTTAGTTGGATGATATGTTTTAATTTAGAGAATTGTATTATGTGAAATAATCATTCACTTAATAAATGGTGTGTTAAGAGAGCAAATGGGATGAGAAGCAAGTTTTGCCTGAGAGTGGCAAAAATTGAAGGTGGGTTGATAGAGTAAATTGAGATGAGGTGCATTTGTGTGGAGTTGAGCACTATGAGCTGTTGAGTTACTTAAACAATAGAATGATTTTGTGAAGCCTGGAGTAATTTGTATCATGCCTTTTGTGTGGCCATGTCAGAGCACTCTCTGTCACTTCTGCTCTGCTGCCACTGGAAGATAGATGCCTTGAGAACAGCAACTTATTACCTTTTGCTTCCTTTTGTTTTTTTATTTTATTTAATGTAGTTGTTGGTATTCAGAATTGCCTTGAATAAAATTGATGAGATTGTTAACTTGATCACCATCATTTCTAATGTATGGTACGTGGCTGTTCATCTGAAGCACTTTATGTCATCTATTCTAGTGGCTTATTCTTCTCTTGCCTTTGTTGTGCGTGGAGAAATCTTATAAATAAGGTGTTGTATTTTCTTTGGAGTTGAAATTTTTCAGTATGAACACGTTAGCAGTAGAGTTTTCCAAATTTTTGAGCCTGGTAACTTGTTAAGACTTCTCCAGTGGATCTTCTGGCAAATTACAAGCTGTAATATCTACCTGTTTGAAAGGTACAGTGAAAATTCCAGGCCTGGCAAATTTCACAGGTAAATGAAAGTTGGTCTGGTTAAAGAAGGCTGTGGATTAAAGTCATTGAGGTGCCTTGAAGAGGCCACACTGTCGCTGATGGTGACAGCAGAGCTGTGACTGCTGTGCTCAGCTGTTCCTTTCCTCTCTTCCCCAGCAACACCGTAACTCCCGGGGGGAAGCCCAACAGGACACGGGTGATCTGGGGGAAGGTGACACGGGCCCATGGGAACAGTGGCATGGTCCGTGCCAAGTTCCGCTCCAACCTTCCTGCCAAGGCCATTGGACACAGAATTCGGGTGGTAAGTGGATTTATTTTGGCAACAAGATATTTATTGGCAGTTTTCAGGGTACCTTTTTATTCCAAGTAGGAGGAGAGAACACTTGAACTGTGGTTTTGTTCTGTTGGTGTCGTGTTCAACGTGGCTCAGTGATTGTGTTCCTTTTGGAGCCAGAAGAGGTTATTCCTGGCTTCTTGGGCTCAGGGGATTTGCCTCATTGCCAGGGGCCTGTGTGCTTGCTCCGGTTGTCTGGAAAGGTTCTTCAAGTTCCAGGACTCAGGTCCCTTCTAAAGCAACCTTGATTTCTTTTTTCTGGATCTTTTCCATGTATTTTTGCACTCTTCTGCTCCAGTTCCTACCTGTTAATTTTTCTACTACCTCCCAAATGTTGTAACTGAGGGGAGTGCTGTCCTAATGGGTCTGCTCATACCTGCTCCACAGTCAGTGTCTTAGCCACAGGGCTTCAGTGAGACTGTACCTTTTGGTACAGTACTCACCCAGAGTTGTGATGCGGTATTTTCATACTGATGATGTCAAAAGGAGTATCAGAGGGGTGCTTCCTTTCTGCTTCTTTCCTGTGCCTTAGAAAAAGCACAGTAGGAGCAGCACAGTTAAATCCTGAATCTAGAGCCATGGGAACTGTTGCTGTCAGTGTGCAGGAGGGCTGGCAAAGTGCTACTGCAAGGCACTGAACCAGCTGTTGGGCTTTTCCATTGTCACACCTCTTCTCTGTAAACTGAGGGGTTGCTTTTATAGCAGTTGAAGAGATTGATGGTCTAGATTGTAACTGCAAAACTTGTGTTTAAAAACAAGATATCTAATATGATTCTATCTGGTTTTGTGTTTTACAGATGCTGTATCCATCTAGGATCTAAATTTTTATTGAAAATAAAATGGAGAATCTGTTTAACTTTTGTACATTTCTGTTTTTTATCCCCTCCACCAATTTTGAGGGACTTCCTTCTCAGTAGTGTATCAGAGTTGACAGCACAGAGATGCTGTTGGGACACAAAGCTGCACAGTGGAACAGGGATTGGACACATTCCTGGACAGGTGTTTGTAGAGCAGGCTGCACTCTGAAGATAAATAACTGCCACCTCTGTGCTTCCTGTCATGGAATCAACATCACACACCTTGCATTGCAGGGCTAAACAATAAATGTTTGCAACCTCACAAACTGCACACAACTGTTGTATAGAACACTAGAAGTGTTTCCTTGCTGATCTGGTAGAGGGGAACTTCCTCCACGTGGTGCTGAACTGTTGATGAGACAAAACTGTGTAATTGTGACATCCTACCCTTAAGAGTGGGATGTCACAGTGGTGGGACACTAAGTCCTAGCAGGTGCAAGTTCTCTCTCACATCTGAAGATAGTAGTTCCAGTAGAATCCTGAATAATGAGATCGAGTGTACCTGGACAGCACCCGTGCCTGTAGTGTCTGCTCTGTGGAATTTATTTAAACCCGTTTTCATCACAGCTCTGTAGTGCCTGAGTGGTAACACTGGCTGGATTCCTGGGCTTATCCCACTGTCTCATGTGGGGTGAGGATCGTCACATCACTTTCACAGCTGTCTAAGGTTTGTTGAACAAGAAGGAAGGGTGGTGAAAAATGAGTTTTTAAGTCTTGAAGTGCAAGACTCAGAGCATCTTAGTACATCCTCCCAAAATGCAAAGGACTTATGAGACAACTGCAGGTT